ACAGTCTTCAGCGAAATTGTAGAAGTTTCATTTCTCCATCTAACCCACTTGAAAGTAACACCTGCCCCCCCTTACTCTAAAGGCAAGTTGAAACGCAGAGGCACGTAGCTGCCAAAGTTTCATGCTTGACACATGGTAGTTAGATATTTTGGAATTCAACTCCTCGTTGACCACTGGGATGGTAAGAGATGCCAGATAAGGAAGTTCAAAATATCTAAAAGTCAGCAGGTATTCTACCTTAGCATAGACAGGAGACAGTAAGATAGAACCGGGGTTTACCTTGGCATGTCTATTGCACCCAGAGCCTTAGGGAGCTGTGTTAGCCTGCCTCAGGTCTATTCTCTTTGTTCTGTTTATAAAAATTCACATAATTCAGAACTCAGAGGGGCTATGTTGCAGAGAACGACCAGGGATATATGCCATTTTTTTAAATGCTTATCCAAAACTTTTTTAAAAATCTGAACAAGGAGCTAAACACGTTGATTTTATGATTATTATTTTTTTGCCAAAAGCACAACATTGTCCTGTGAGTTTTGGTGGTGTCTTTGACAACTATATGGCTGCAGAAAACCTAACTTTTTTTTTTTTTGGCAAGGTTTTTCAGAAGTGGTTTGCCATTGCCTCGTTCCTAGGGCTCAGAGACAAGAATTGGCTCAAGGTCACCCAATGTCTAGTCCAGAACTAGAACTCACAGTCACCCAGTGTCTAGCCCAGGGGTAGGCAACCTTGGCTCTTTTATGACTCGTGGACTTCAGCTCCCAGAATTCCTGAGCCAGCTATGCCACGAGTCATAAAAGCCACGAGTCATAAAAGAGCCAAGGTTGCCTACCCCTGGGCTAGCCTGATGCCTTAATTACTTCTCTACATTGGCTCTCAAGAGGTTTCTGCACCCCATCATAGGAACCCTGGTGGCGCAGTGGTTAGAATGGAGTATTGCAGGCTAACTCTGCCCCCAACCAGGAGTTCAATCCTGACCAGCTCAAGTTTGATTCAGCTTTCCATTCTTCCAAGGTCAGTAAAATGAGGACTCAGATTGTTGAGGGCAATATACCCACGTTGTAAGCCACCCAGAGAGTGCTGTGAAGCACAATGAGGCAGTATATGTTTAAGTGCTATTGCTATTGTTATCACAATTTTGTTTGGTTTCATTTTTAAGAGGATTTTAAGAGAAAGGGGGGGAAGGGAAAGGGAAAAGGAAAAGGATAGAGAGGGGGAGAGAGAATGAGAAAGAGAGAGAAGTATGCATGCTATAAAAAGAGTGCTGGCTACCAGCATCCCCTTTCTTTCCAAGAATGCAACGGAGCCCAAACTCTTGCACAAATGGAAAAATTTGCTTGGTTTCGCCATATCTGCCAACATTTCAGAATTAGAAATGAGGGTCATGAATATTGTCATATGCTCTGTCCAGCACGACATGCACATGCTTCTGTTCTTCTTTCCCCAGCTCTTTCACAGGCAGACCCCCCCCCCATATATGTAAAAAAAAAATAATGGATTTGAATCCACATTTGTGACCACCCCCTTGATTTTGTTGACATTCTGGCCCTCCTTCCCTCTACACAGATAATGCTGTCCTCTTCATAGGTCCCACCAAGAAGACATCTAAATATGGTTTGTTTATATTTATTTCATTATGCTTATAATAGGACGAGAACCCTTTATAGCCCAATTCTAGGGAAGGCTGCCATTCAGGTTCTGATAATTCAAGTGGATAAACTTAAATCTCCCCCCCCCCAAAAAAAGTAAGGGTTATTGTTCCATACACCTTTCTCTATATAAATTTCAACTCCCAGAATTCCTCAGCCAGTTATACATGGCTGGCTGGGGAAGTCTGGGAGTTGAATTCCACAAGTGATAAAATGGCCAAGTTTGGAGAGCCCTGTTCAAACAAGACCGATAGAGTGCACCTCTTCAAGGAGGCTTACCGGAAATAAGCAGAGACATGTTGTTGTTGTTGTTGTTTTTAAAAAAATTAGTCATCCCAATGCATGCTTGTTCAGAAATGAGCCCTTGGATCAGTGGTTCTCAACCTTTTTAATGCTGCGACCCCCAACCGGTCGTAAGTCGAGGACTACTCAACTGGTGCAGCACCATTTGCAGAATGGGACTTTTGGTGGGCTCAGCAGGGCAGAGACAGCCTGGACAATTCCTATTGGCTTTTGAAAGCCAATAGAATTAGACTCTATTCAAGAGAGTATATTCTATTGGCTTTCAAAAGCCAGTAGAATAAAAGGGAGTAGCACAGCTAAGGAAAAGGGGGAAAAAAATGGCGGACTGCGTTGTTTGGCGACCCCCGTGAAATGGTCGTTCGACCCCAAATGGGGTCCCGACCCACAGGTTGAGAACCACTGCCTTAGATTCAGCATGGCATATTTCAAGCAAGAAACGTATAGGCAGTCATCCACTTACTAGCATTCGTTTAGTGACTGTTTGATGTTTCAATGATTCTGAAAAAAACTTATGACTTATCACCCGTTCTCACGCTTATAAAGTGATACAGCATCTCCACAGCTACATGGTCAGAATTTGGGCAATTGGCAACCAGCCTGTATTTAGTGTCCGTGTGTGTCCGTGTGTGTGTGTGTGTGTGTGTGTGTGTGTGTGTGTGTGTGACAGGATTGGTCTTTACGCCTTAACAACTGGGCATGACTCACTTAACAACTGCCTCATTTAGTGACAAAAGTCCTGTGGTTGTAAGTCGAGGACTACCTGTAGAAGATTTTGGTTCCTCTGCAGGGAATATCAGTATAAAAGAATTATTACCAACTGTAGGGAGTGTGGAAGTTGGACCATAAGAAAGGCTGAGCGCCAAAGAATTGAGGCCTTTGAACTCTGGTGCTGGAGAAGACTCCTGCGAGTCCCCTGGACTGCAAGACAATCCAACCGGTCACCCTAGAGGAGATCAACCCTGACTGCTCTTTAGAAGGCCAGATCCTGAAGTTGAAACTCAAGTACTTTGGCCACCTAATGAGAAGGAAGGACTCACTGGAGAAGAGCCTAATGCTGGGAAAGATGGAGGGCAAGAGAAGAAGGGGACGACAGAGAGTGAGGTGGCTGGATGGAGTCACTGAAGCAGTAGGTGTGAACTTAAATGGACTCCAGAAGATGGTAGAAGACAGGAAGGCCTGGAGGAACGTTGTCCATGGGGTCACGATGGGTCGGACATGACTTCGGAACTAACAACAATAAAAGGAAGTGGTGCTCATCTATGATTCAAGGCCATTGAGCCATGTCTCTGAAGACATTTCCCTGGTCACATGGGCAGCAGGACATCATGGAGTGCTGTTACCTTCCCACCAAAGTGGTACCTATTTATCTACTGGCATTTGCGTGCCCTCGAACTGCTAGGTTGGCAAGAGCTGGGGCAAGAAGGGAGCTCACCCCATCCCATGGGGTTGTCGACCCGTATATGTATAATCTCTCTCTCTCTCTCTCTCTCTCTCTCTCTCTCTCTCTCTCTCTCTCTCTCTCTCTTTATCTCTCTCTCTCTCTCTATCTATCTATCTATTTCTGTCTCTCTCTATTTCTCTGTCTCTCCTCTCTCTCTCTCTCTCTATTTTTTCTCTCTCTATCTATGTCTCTCTATCTATTTATCTCTCTCTCTGTGTGTCTCTCTCTCTTTCTCTGTTTCTCTGTCTCTCTCTCTGTCTCTCTCTCTGTCTCTCTCTTTCTCCCCTTTTTCTTTCTATAGAACATGTGGAGAAATTACCATTTGTGCAGCACAATCCTATCAAGTGTCTTCCTGGATGCGTTCCACTGAATGCCATGGGGTTTACTCTTAGGTAAGAGATTAGTAGAGTTCCCTCCCTCTTTAAACGTAATTAAACAGCAAAGCAGAAACTCTACTCCTTGACTGTGTCTGCAACTTCTTTAGAAAGACAAAAAAAAAAAAAAAAAAAACCCTTCATCTCCTCATCATCTGACCATGGGCTAATAATATATAAACAAGATATTATCAGGAAGAAAACATAATTTGTTCCTTGTGTTGCGTGCATCGGAACTTCAAAAAAAAAAGGAACAAAAAAAAAAAAAAACGGCTCGGCTCATTCATAAAGATTTTGGCCGATGCTCAACCAAGCAAAAAGGCTCCACGTCCTGGGAGCCAAGGAGAGCATAGACAATCCTCTGTTGTAACTGCGATTGGCAAAGGTTCTTAATTTACCCTAACAGGTTGCCTTTGCCTTGATTGGCTACAAAACGATACTGCCATGCTCCCAGCCACCCCGGGAAGATAATGATTCCATTGATTAAAATTAAAATGGGCATCAAATCAGCAAATCCAGACAAAGCCCGTGGAAGGGAAACAAGCAAAAGGAAAACAAGCAAGCAAAATCTAGTGAGAACAGCTTGAAGTTGTTCCATCCACGTTTACAGAATCCAGATGTTTGGGACTAGAGATTTGACTAGGTTTTGCTGTGGGATTGCCCTTTGAAAAAAACGAAGTGGAAATCCTGGGAAACTGGTGGATATAAAGATAGTCCTTGAATTGCAACAGTTCAGTTAATGATGGTTCGACGTTACAACAGCACTGAAAAAGTGACATGATCATTTTTCACACTTACGACGATTGCAGCATCCCCACGGTCACATGATTTACATTCGGATAACAGAATAACAGAGCTGGAAGGGATAATCTTGGAGGTCTTCTAGTCCAACATCCTATGCCAGTGGTGGCGAACCTATGGCATGCGTACCAGAGGGGGTACTCGGAGCCCTCTCTGTGGGCACACGTGCCTCACTCTTTGGCTACTTTTTTGCAGGAAAAAGACATTTCTCAAGCCCCTTCCTAGCCAAAACAAACCTCCGGAGCGAGTGTGCTGTTTTCAGCTTTGAATTATATCCAATCTGACACCAGAAACAGACTAACAGATGACCTGAGCACTGCATGTGTTGCTCTCAAACTTACAAAGTATAAGCCAAGGTTAGACAAATTATCAGCATGCATACAACAGCAAAAATCACATTAATTGTTCAAAAGCATGCCAAATGCAAACTTTTACCTTTCAGTAAAAAGTTGTTGGTATCATTGAAAGCTTTGTTACTGTGTTTTTCTTTTAAGACAAAAGATGTTAATGTATGAGTTGTTTTTTCTAAACTAAAACCTCAATATTCAGATTAAACTGCCGTGTTGGCACTTTGGGATAAATAAGTGGGTTTGGGGTTGCAGTTTAGGCACTCGGTCTCTAAAAGGTTTGACATCACTGCCCTATGTAATTTCAGACAAATGGCCATCCAATCTCTTTTTAAAAACTTTTTAAAAAAAACTTCCAGTTCCAGAGGCAAGTGGTTCCACTGATTAATTGTTCTGTCAGGAAATTTCTACGTTGCTTCTCTCCTTGATGCTTGACAATTAGTTCATATCTATGACGGTTGCCGTGTCCCAGAATCATGTGATCACCTTTAGCAGCCTTTTAACAAGCAAAGTAAATGGGGAAGCCAGATTCACTTAACAACCGTGTGACTAATTTAACAACTGCAGTGATTCACTAAGGCAAGAAAAGTTGTAAAATGGAGCAAAACTCAAATTTCTCACTTAGCAACAATTGTTGAGCTCAACTGCAGTCGTAAGTCAAGAACTACCTGTACTTTCGTCATTTCCATTCTGGTGACTTAAAGACATCTTCTAGTTATCCAACTGTTGTTATTTAAGAATAACAGGAACGAGGACAAATATCATTTCAACAATGGTTGGGTGATGTTATGAAGATGTTATAAGTCATTAATGGGAAAGATGCATTTCTTTCTCTCTCTGCATGATAATTGTTATGTCCTGGGCCTGTGATTGACAGAGCGGGTGCAGGAAGCTGTAGAGAGACCCGGGCAGACCACATGGCTGCCTGGGCTAGACAGGCTTCCTCCAGCCTATTGCGCATGTGCAAAGCGGGAAAATACGTTGCATTTATTGGCTGACGCTATTCCCTGCAAAAGGGTATAAAAGGGATCCGCGCCATTTTGTGTTGTTCTGTTGAAGCTTGAATAAAGAAGCAACTGTTGTTACACCTGCCTCGTCTCAATGCCTTATCAACGCACAGAACAGAACAATAATTATGGCAGGAGGAGCCCTTTCCATATTGAAAAGGGCTTTGGGTTAGCAGAGGCTTACTATAGTACAGGTGGTCCTCGACTTACGACCACAATTGAACCCAAAATTTCTGTTGCTAAGCGAGACAGTTGTTAAGTGACGTTTGCCCTGTTTTAGGGCCTTTTTTTGCCCTGTTGTTAAGTGAACCACTGCAAGTTAGTAACACAGCTGTTAAGTCAATCTGGCTTCCCCATTGACTTTGCTTATCAGAAGTTTGCCAAATTGGATCACATGACTCTGGGGCACTGCGACCGTCATAATTATGAGCCAGTTGCCAAGAGGTTTAACCATGGAGACTCTACAAGAGCCATAAGTGTAAAAAAAACAAGTCATAAGTCACTTTTTTCGGTGCCGTGATATCTTCGAGTGATCACTACATCAATGGCTGTAAGTCAAGGACTATCTTTATGGAAAGTCATAAAAAAAGCCTTTGGGCCTAAGATTAATGCTCTCATCGGAAGGACTCGCCTCTTTGAGGCATGAAGTTATTCCAGACTTTGAAAGGGAGACTAGAAGAACCTTGACCCAAAGTGGGCAAAGCTGGAAGTCTGAACAGGGCAGAACTACAAAAAGCTGGTTTTTATTTTAATTTGACTATAACCTACAGTTAATATATTTCCTCTGCACTTGAATAGCTTTCCTCTGTTGCAGGGGTGTCAAACTCAATTTCACTGAGGGCCGCATCAGCATTGTGGTTGCCCTTGGGGGCCGGGTGGGTGTGGCCTACTGGGTGGGTGTGGCCTACTGGGTGGGTGTGGATGGAGTGGGTGTGACCTACTGGGTGGGCGTGGCCAGTTCTACATCATTCGTGTCAAGGGGCCCTGTGGGGGCCTGGGCAGGAGTGGGACAGATCTGAGGGTCTCTGGCAGAAGGGGGTGGGACCGGGGCAAGCGCCAAGGCATGGCCCACCAGAGCAAGTGCCAAGATGACCACCACAAAATTGTACATTGGCTCCCGGCTGGCCTGGGCCAGGGCCAAGGCAGCAGGGATCGTTCCCTCACTGTTTCCAGGATGGCTTTGCGGGCCACATGAAACCACTTTGCGGGCCGCATCCGGCCCCCGGGCCTTGTGTTTGACATGTCTGCTCTATTGTCACATCAAAAAAAGGAGAGTTTGACAGAAACTAAACTTTTCCAGCACATGATAGACTAGGCTCCAATTTGGGGTAGAGTTATATGTGAGTTGAATCTCATTTGTTTTCAAGCCAATGATTTAGTATGGAACAACGATCAGACCAAACTATGGGATTGATTTGATTTTGTAAATCAATTTTCAAATCCATTCCCTGCATGAGCCAAATCCCTTCCGAGTACTCTGACTGACTCAGACACATCTGACAGTGTGATTTGCTCTGGATTGTTGGTCCAAATTGAAAAGCTGGTTTGATCCAGAGAGTTGAATGGATGGCTTTAGAGCATGAAATCTCCAAATCAAATTTTTTCATAGATATCCTTTCCAGTTCATTGTTCTTTGTCTCTCTGTGGCCAACCAGATGCCTCTGAGAAGACCAATACAAGGCAGGAAAGAAGCAACCCATTTCCAGGGATGGTATGCAGATTGACATGGTCCTTTTCAGATGGTGCCTTAAATCTTAAAAACATATGAAGAACAGTTGCAGGAACTGGGTATGTCTAGTTTAATGAAAAAAAAGGACTAGGGGTGACATGATAGCAGCGTTCCAATATTTGAGGGGTTCCTACAAAGAACAGGGGGCCAACCTATTCTCCAAAGCATCAGAAGGCAGAACAAGAAACTGTGGATGGAAACTAATCAAGAAGAGAAGCAACCCAGAACTAAGTAGAAATTTCCTGACAGTGAGGACAATCAACCAGTAGAACAACCAGTTATGGGTGCTCCAATACTGGAGGCTTTTAAGAAGGGACTGGACAATCATTTGTCTAAAGTGGTATAGGGTTTCCTGCTTGAGCAGGGGGTTGAACTAGAAGACCTCCAAGATAGTAATAGTAATAGTAGTAAAGTTGGAAGGGACCTTGGAGGTCATCTAGTCCAACCCCCTGCTCGGGCAGGAAACCCTACACCATTTCGGACAAATGGCTGTCCAGTCTCTTCTTAAAAACTGCCAGTGTTGGAGCATTTACTGCTTCTGGAGGCAAGCTGTTCCACTGATTAATTGTTCTCACTGTCAGGAAGTTTCTCCTTAGTTCTAGGTTGCTTCTCTCCTTGATGAGTTTCCACCCGTTGCTTCTTGTCCTGCCTTCAGGTGCTTTGGAAAATAGCTTAATTCCCTCTTCTTTATGGTAGCCCCTGAGATATTGGAATACTGCTATCATGTCCCCCCTTGTCCTTCTCTTCGTTAAACTAGACATACCCAATTCTCGCAACCGTTCCTTATATGTTTTAGCCTCCAGTCCCCTAATCATCTTTGTTGCTCTTCTCTGTACTCTTTCTAGAGTCTCAACATCTTTTTTACATCGTGGTGACCAAAACTGGATGCAGTATTCCAAGTGTGGCCTTACCAAGGCATTGAAGAGTGGTATTAATACTTCACGTGATCTTGATTCTATCCCTCTGTTAATGCAGCCTAGCACTGTGTTGGCCTTTTTGGCAGCTGCAGCACACTGCTGGCTCATATTTAAGTGATTGTCTACTAGGACTCCGAGGTCCCTCTCACAGTTACTACTATTGAGCATGGTGCCACCTATGCTGTACTTGTGCATTTGGTTTTTCTTGCCTAAATGTAGAACCTTGCTTTTTTCACCATTGAATTTCATTTTGTTAGTTAGTGCCCAGTGTTCAAGTCTGTCCAGATCCTTCTGTATCTGAAGCCTGTCTTCTGGAGTGTTGGCTATTCCTGCCAGCTTGGTGTCATCTGCAAATTTGATGAGTTCCCCATCTATCCCTTCATCCAAATCGTTGATGAAGATGTTGAAGAGTACTGGGCCCAGAACAGAGCCCTGGGGCACCCCACTACACACTTCCCTCCATATAGATGCAGTTCCATTGAGGACCACTCGCTGAGTACGGCCGGTCAGCCAACTTTGTTATTCTGTTATGATCTATTGCCTGATGCCACTTTTTCACACCATGAATGGTGGGCCTTGCTGAAGGGTAAAATCTCTTTGCAGCTACTATTTTTTCTGGTTTTTCATTCCATTTGCAGCTGGAGATGACCATTTCTCTTCCACCCTGCCCCATCCTCCTAACCCAACCTAAACCATGAGCAAAATCTACCAGTTCAATCATAACAGTTTAAAAAAAAAAAATAGCCACAGACGTTTATTGCTTCCTTCTGAAAAATTTACTATGGCCCGATTTATATTTTTGGATTTTGCGCATTCCTGTATTTCTTTCTTGGCAATTTGGAGGGCAAGTATTTGGCTTGTCTTGCTGCCAATCAAAATATTTGAAGGAAATGTTTATTTTCTTCTGGAAATCGCACCAGCTGCTGCTTTAGCTGAATACACTCATTTAGAAGTAAGAATTTAGCCATTGTGAGAGCAAGTATGGCACCTGCACATGCTGCGTTTCTGACCCAATCTATCAACGGAAATGGCAACACTTTGAATCAGGGATCTGGGAAGTGAGGAATGCGTGTTGAACAGAGGTCACTGCCCTGGCTACTATCATGTCAATGCTTTGGGGGCTGCCCGTTCTCAGCAGCACTAAACAGGAATTCTGCATTGCACTACTTTCCAAACTGCTTCGTCCTTTTTAAATAAAAGGTTGCCATTATTTTATTTCATAAAAGCACAAGCGACCCTATGCTGGATTGGATCATGGCCTATCAACTCTAGCAGTCTGTTCTCACTGTGGCCAACTGACTAGTCAAGGAAGCACGCTAGTTTCCCAACCGATGGCCTTCAGAGGAAGTCATCAAGGCTAACAGCCTTTTTCTCTGGAGAAAATCTAGATCTTATGTTGACCACATTTTGGCCTGGTGAGAAGACCTAGAAATTGGCACCAGAGTTTTCCATTCACAAACTAGTTGTCACAGTGGATGAGGCCAGT